CTCTAGGTAGACTTTAAATTGGGCCCAGTATTCACCTATAGCATCACTGATGAGCAAAACTTCCTGCCATGGTAGGAATGGGGGAGCCTTGCGCTGTCCGTGCAACAAGAAACTGAATTTTTCATTGCCATTAATATTAATGTCACACTGATACACAACTGTACAGCACAGATTTCAGTAATGAGCCCTCCACTCCTCCAGTGCCCCTCTTGTCAGTATCCTACCTGTCCATCAGAGCTGCCTGCCCCACCTCTAACCCTTTCCAGGTTGATCTTCCTTTTCCCAGCCTCTGTGTCATAGCTAGCCACACACAGTACCCCATCGAAAGTGCATCCCTACCAGGGCAGGGGCTTTCTAGAGCAGAGGTCCAGCCTCGTTCTGAATAACCCTCTCATCTGGGAACCCGCCCCACTGCACACATGAACAAATATCTACTGTATCAAAGCACCAAAATGATACATGCTCAGAAAGTAGATCCGGACAGACAGCTATAGATGAGGGTCATCTCACACTCCCTAAAAGAAAGTCTGATAAAGACCTTCTCTTTCCCTCTGTACCTGCACCCACTTTCAGTCCATCACCGCCCTGCATGAACCAGGGGAGGGCTCACCTTCACTGGTGGGAGATTAACAAACAACCTCTTACTGATACCATGACAATGCCTTGCAAAGGGCAGGCTTCCCTCCACTTCCTAGATGTACACGGTCACTCAGGAGCTGGCTGGCTGTCGGCTTCTGTTTCCTACCTCTCTTCCTCTGAACACGTGTACACTTGAGCTACGAGGTCTGCCCCCCACCCTCCAACTGATATTTAAACTTGACCTTTTGCATGTGGTTTGACTTGAGATTATTATTTTTTTTAATAACTGATTAGAATTCAAGTTAGTGGCTCAGCAAAGAAAAAAAAATGATGACAGTGATGGTGGTGGTGGTGAAGATGGTGATGATGACACTGATGATGACAGAGACTTTTGTTTCGACTACAAAAGAGAGGTCAGTACAGACTCCACTAAGCAAGACCAGTTACATTCAAAGTCTGCAGACAATGTAAGAAGCCACAGAGATCTTCCACACGTGCATTCCAGAAGGCTTAGGAAGCTTTCTGCTTGTTGTCTTCTTACCATCGCCCCTAGTGAGAGGAAGCATAACTATGATGTTTCTTTTTAGGGAAAGAGAGAAAATAAGAAAGGGAAAAGAAAGAAGAGAAAAAGAGGAAGAAAAAAAAAAGAGTTCTATCGTTAATGGAGATGAAGACAGGCAACATCCACAAAACATACTCAGTGTTCAGCAAAAACTGCACAGAAGGGGTAGGGGAGGCAAGGAGCAAACACGCATTTGCTTCCCATGCCAACCACCTGGAGCATCAAATCTTCCCCACTCTTCAAACGCAAGCTCGGCGCATCAATAACACCACTCTACCGAGAAAATCCATTGTCACTCGATGGGTGTCTGGATGAACGTTAGAAGCCCACGCAAGAAGCAGAGGTAATAAGCCACTGCTCCCATCCCCAGGTCACAGGAGGCCCAGCAGAGGAGCATTGAGAAACCGGGACGACGAGGAGGAGCATGCCAGGACACCCGCCAAGACTCCACCTTGGAGAAAAGCCAAGGCATTAGAATCCTGCAAGTCCACACAGTTAATTCAACTCCAGTGAATTAGATGCCCTCACTTGATCCACGGGCATCTGGGAGCTCTCTAAGGAGGGGTTTAGGAGGCTGTTCCTTTTGAGCCCTATCCGGGTCTTGGGAGGGACCATGCGCCCAAGACAGAGATCCAACTAGCTTGGACTTTACACCCTGGCACGTGAGTCCACTTAGAAGCTCAGCCTCCAGAAGCATGAATTAAGTAACACACCCTAAAAGCAGAGGACAAAATCGGAGGGGGGAGGGTGGGGGGGGTACTCCAGATGAGTACCTGACAAAACTAAAGAGAAGGCCTTGTCAAAGAAGGCCTGAAACCAGCCATGTCTAATAACCACCTCACCAATGGCCTAACCGCATCAGGCACCACTGAAAATTGCGACTTTTATACTTGCCTATGTTCTTTATCCTGCTAAGGTCACACAACCTCCTTTGAAAGTCATCTGGACACATCCTACTGACCCCACACCCAGCCAACCGTGCAACATGAAACAACTATGACTCTCACCACCCGGACAGACTTCATGGCCACTAAAATGACAGGACTTCTCTGAAGATTCAGCTCATCCAACTGTGGCGCATGCAACTCAAGCGCCCTTCCTGACTGAACTGAGCAAGATCCTTGGAAAGGACAGCTCTACTCTAAGATAGAAAGCGGACTCTTCTTTGTGTGTCTGGACACAAGGATTTGTCCTTCTACTGCTTTTGTGCCTGGTAATGCCCTGGAGCTCAAAGATACTAAGCAGAAAAAAAGCCCACAATCTATGTTTCCATTTCTCAATTCAAGCAGTAGTCACTGATTTTCAAGATATCTAAAAAGATCTTGATTTGTCAGTGCGAACTCATCCCATCTCTGTGCTTTTGGGGTATGGAGGCTATACCCAGTTTATTCTGAAGATCTGTCTACCAGAGTTTTACTGTCCCTAAGGTGGGAAACTAATTGCTCTTGGTGAGAGAGACAGAGAAAGAGATGGGGAGAGGAGGAACAGAAGGCTTCAGAGTGGCCTTCACTAGTGGCCGTAGATACCCACCCTTCCCGGGGTGCCCGGTTCACTCTGGGGACAAATAGAACAATGGATTCTTGTGCCTTCTGGGTTAACCAGTCCAGTCGGCAAAACATCTTCAGATCATTTGGTCATAAAAGATCAACAGGTTAATGTTTCAAAATAGAAAACAAGGTTCAAATATCATGGATTCATAGTGAAAACAAAGAGCAGGAAGAGCAAGCTGAATGCTTGGAAACACAGCTCATCAGCAAGTTATCCCTGCAACACCACACAAGCTAAAGATCGGCATACTGGTGAGACCTGGCCTCCCGGCACTTTCCTAACCTATGCCCAAATAAAGGCATGTGCTCACTTTGTTGCTAAGAAAACTACTTATTCTCCTGTTAATCATAGAATTCTACTTAACTAGGGTCCTCTCCACAGATCCAAAAGGGCTAGACAGTAGAAGTCAGGGAATAGAGACCAGGTGAGGTCAAAGGAGACCTAGCCAGCACACTAGCCTTCATAAAGTCAATTTGTACATTTTCCTGCTCAAAAAATTGGTCATGACCAACAGTTCTCAACATCCAAGTCTCCTATTTTTGGTTCTATTTTAGATGTGCCAATCTGATCAGTAAGACCTGACACTACAGCTTGGAAAAAATGCCCCCTAGCAAGGCCTATGTGTAAAAAAGACTTGGTCCCCAGCCTGTTACACTATGGGAAGGTAATGAAGCACCTTCAAGAGGTGGGCCCCATTGGAAGTCTTCCAGTCACATGGAACCCTGGCCCCTTCCTCTCCCTTTCAGTCCCTTGCTATCTCTACCAAGTGTCTCCCCTCTACCATGATACAATACTTCACTGCAGGCCCCAGAGCAACAGGGGTAACTGACAATAGACTGTAACCTCCCACACTGTGAGGCAAACTGCTTCTCTTTATACATCTCAAGCATTTGTTGCAGTAACAGAACACCAACTAACATTGACAACACAGCTGGGGTCTGGAGGTACCCCACTCAGCTTCTCTAAGATAACTGTTTCTCCTGGCAACAAAGACCCCACTAGCCAGCGTCTAACCACTATCAAAACTCAAGTTTTCTCTGGTGGACAATTTTACAATCTATTCAGTTCTTCATCTATCACAGCACTCATGACAGTTTCCCCAGGGCCATTTAATTCCTAATTAATTCCCAACTACACTAATCAACAACTCACCCAAAATAAGAAAGAATAAGAACACATCTCTTTCATCAAGAACCACAAAAATACACAGAGAGCCCAAGAAACCTCAGGTGATTCCCAGCTCAGCACTGAATTTTCATTAAGGGATGCTACAGCTCCCAATGCCTCCTATTCCAACGATGGCTGGCCCTGCTTAAATGACTGAGATGATGGTCCCAGCTACAGTTTCCTGTAAATTTTAATAAATATTTAATGGAACCCAAAAGTTATGAGTGATTATGGCAATTTTTCAAATTGGGAAAGAGAAGAGAGAAAAGAATGGGAACAGTAAAGGAAAGTTGACCATAAGCCAAAAACTAGAGGCAACACTTAAGTTTTAATCCTGGCCCTACACAGCCGGAGTACAATCACAGCTCTGTCGAATGCAGAAAATTTTCGTATGTACACACTGAGTGCAAGGGATCCTTGAGGAAAAACACCGGATTGTGAGACATTCCCATTTACAAAAAAAAGAAAAAATAATAATAAAAAAATTCAAGGAGACAAAAATCCAAACCAATTTACACACCTCAACCTATCCACATGCTTCCCGCCCCTATAAGTTAAAGCACACAAGCCCAAGGGGTTAGCCTCACCTAGAGCAGGTGTCATGGCGGCCATGGGCCCTGCAGGATCCAGCTGGAATCCGCTCATCATGAACTGAGTGTCCGGAGCGGTACTGTCCACCTTCAGGTTGGGCAGGTTCATGTTCTGGGCCAGGTAGTACTGGTAGAGCTCGGCCTCGGCGGGGGAGGGCAGACTGCCGAGGCCCAGGTGGCGGTTGTGCTGGATCTGTGTCATGTTCTGTTGCAGCAGCATCATGTTGTGCATGTGTTTCTCACTGGTCATGTGAATGCGAAGGTTCCTGGCCACGTTGGTCTCATAATCACACACCTCACA